TTTGTAGTGTTCTGTCTGACGACAGGTCCATATGAACAGGATCCTTCCATCCTTTTCTCGGACTGGGACCTGTTCATATACGTTCTTGGCAGATGATCCAGAAGTGGTTTGCCATTGCCTTCTTCTGTGTGTGAATGGAGTAATTGTTGGGATGCCACGGAGGAAAACTCCGTGATGCCTAGACCACGGCCTTGCCCAACACAAGTTATAAATCTGAGCACCACCGGGAATTGAACCCGGGACCCCATCACTATCATAAGGTACACAAAGTCTTACCAGGAAGACTAGGATAGAAAAAATACAAAGAAGAAGGCTTAAATGATATGCTGACAGTTGTTTACAAGCCTCAGTTTGACTCCAGATCACGTAAAAAAATTCGTCAAATACGTGGCGGACTCAGTCCTCCCTCTTTGGCGTAGATTTTCCAAATGGTGTCTTCACTTCAGATTTTCCAAGCGGAAATTTCAACGTGTTTATCTACCCCATGCATGCTACATACCCTACCGATATCCTTCTAGAATTTATCTTCCTAATGTTTGTACAGTTTTATCCTGTCTCATTTTACGTCATCACTCTTAGGTACCGTTATTTTCCTCAGTACCCTTTTCTCAAACACCCTCAATCTGTGTCCTTCCTTCAATGCGAGGTACCAAGTTTTATTGGATTTCGTTGTCTCAGGATGTGGTTTCGTTAAAATCTTTTTTAATCACGTGATGACGTGTTTAGATTCGTTGAATAACTTTGAATTTCCTACGGAAGTCGGAATTTTCCAGTTAGTGTGGGAGGTCTTTGATTTGGTACTTACCCAGAACATTGGCTGTGTGGATTTCATGGTTTTACCCAGTCACCATAACCACGTGTCTCATTATTCCCCCCCCCCCAACTTCATTTTGAACACGTGACCTGCAGTTGAAATATGGCCGTCACACAGATTAAGGATTAGATAAAACGTGTAGTTATTAATCTGTGACGGTGGTTTAACTACGTAGACCTTTTTATTTGAGGTTATGTTTTTAGTTGTAGAGGTTAGCAGTGTGTCTTACGGGAATGCCACACCGCTTTCACTGGTAAAATTGAACGCAACTGTCTCTTTCCGACTGCCAGCAAGAACTGTAGCGGAAAAGGAAGTAGGTTTTATTCTTTTTGTAGAGCGATACTTACTTAACTCGTATAGAAAAAAAAACTCCTATCGCTTGACGGTGGGTTTACCTTCATCAGTGAACGCGCTGAAATGTAACAGATGAATTAGAACTTTCTTATCGACTCGCAGGAAGACTGGTCAGTTTATTAAATATTTTCTCGGCAATTTGTTAAAATTATACTAATTAATGCAAAACGGCTAACGTATTAATCCTTAAAAGCCCAGTGGTTTCATCTTCTTAAGTCTGTTGTTTGTGTGCATCGTATGATTCTCGCTGTGAACAGCGATTACGTCCTTAAACAGCGTTAACTAGTTAATCTTAGTAATGGTGAAGTGTAGTGTTTTCTTCGCGGTACGGACTAAATGTTTAAATATTATGTTCGCAGTGCGTGTCTCATTATAAACAGCGATCATTTCCTTAAACAGCGTTAACCAGTCGATCTTTGTAATGGTGAAGAGTGGTGTTTTCTTCGCAGTACGGACTAGATGTTTAAATATTATGTACGTAGCTCGTGTCTCATTATAAACAGCGATTATTTCCTTAAACAGCGTTAACCATCTCTGTAATGGTGAAGAGATGTGTTTTCTTCGCGGTGCGGACTAGATGTTTAAATATTATGTACGTAGCTCGTGTCTCATTATAAACAGCGATTATTTCCTTAAACAGCGTTAACCATCTCTGTAATGGTGAAGAGATGTGTTTTCTTCGCGGTGCGGACTAGATGTTTAAATATTATGTACGTAGCTCGTGTCTCATTATAAACAGCGATTATTTCCTTAAACAGCGTTAACCATCTCTGTAATGGTGAAGAGATGTGTTTTCTTCGCGGTGCGGACTAGATGTTTAAATATTATGTACGTAGCTCGTGTCTCATTATAAACAGCGATTATTTCCTTAAACAGCGTTAACCATCTCTGTAATGGTGAAGAGATGTGTTTTCTTCGCGGTGCGGACTAGATGTTTAAATATTATGTACGTAGCTCGTGTCTCATTATAAACAGCGATTATTTCCTTAAACAGCGTTAACCATCTCTGTAATGGTGAAGAGATGTGTTTTCTTCGCGGTACGGGCTGGATTCTTATATATCGCTTGGAGTTAATGAATATCTTACGAATTTTTCGATGCATTATTTTTATTGACTATTTACTCGAAATTAAATATTTAAATTAGACTAACTATTTTTCATTATGCAGAGTGATACAGCGTAACAAAAGAGAAGGTTTGTTGCAAGACGCACGTGGACAAAAATAAATATGAAACGTATCTGCTCTACCATCACCCAGCTGTAAAGTAGGTCCTCATTTACCGAGGTCACGCGTACCACACAATGACGTCATCATGGTAGTTAAAATGGGGGCTCTATACGTTATAAATGAGAGCGACACAGACGTATCTAATTTCCTTTCCTCCTCTGTTTCGTGGTATTTCGTACTGATGATGTAATGGCTGCTGGTGGCATAAGGAGGACATGTCTGCCTATGGTATGAGGTGCGCGTGACGTCATCTAGACCGCTGGACGCTGCTTGGGAGAGGAGTGGAGACTTGCGTTGTACCTGTTGAATTCCAGTTGTGGAATCGGTGGTGTTGGAGGAAAGTTGTGAAAGCAAGAGTGAAGAACGAAGTAACTTGAGTCGCCAGTTTCATAACCAGCGAAAGCCAGGATTACTTATAGTTGTATTTTACGTAAGTTACAACTTCGTCTTTTTTTGTGTGTGTTCTGACGACGATTGGCTGTAAGCTTGAAACAGCCATCTTCATACTCGTTGGTTTGAAAACTAGAAATCTTACTCGGCCAACGCATTTTTATATTTTATTCGTGTAGGATAAACTGACGCTATAAAATGTATTTAGTGAATCCTCTTGAGAATGTGACACGATTAAAAAAGAAATTGTGAACAAATCAAGTTACATTTACGAAGAAATTAAGTGTAGGTTATGTTCGGTGCAGAATGTTTTACGTTCCCATGTCCAATATAAATATGTAAATATTACAATATAAAAACTATAATTGTCCATATGGGCGTGAAATACGTGTCTTTTATCCCGAGGGACTGTTTTGGGGGGGGGGATATTTTGATCCAAGAGCGAGGAAGTCACGTGATAAAGAAGACGCCATTGCTCGTACATTTCGCCAGAGATTGTTAGGGCTATTACGTCATGGATGGGTGTGGCGTGTAGCACACATGGGTTGATGAGAAAAAACAAACAAATAAGGGGTGGATAACGACGTTTCAGAAGTGCTTGCTGCCTCCATCATCAGGGTGGATTTTTTCCGGCTTAGGATGGAGTCCAGTGTGACTTTTTTAAACGGAGATTATTGTGAATTCAAAGATGATGACGTCACTTAGGGTGTTTTCGAAACTAATTTGAATTTGTTTGTTTCTCATTAGAAGACATAGTGTCTGCAGTAATACAGACGTGTATGGTCAGTCATCATTTAAGGGACAACTGAGAACACTAATAATGTTTAATTATGGAGTGCGTGTTCTTACAAATGTACAAATCCGCAGGCGAAGTTTCGGTTTTGTAAATTTTAATCTTTACATGTTTTAGACAGAAGACGTCGTTAAAAATGAAACGATTTTCTCAAACTATAGGTAAAACCTGTTTCACGTCTGGCTGATGAGCTTTTAAAGAACGGTGGTTGCAGTATGTAATTAACATCACTTTGTCCACGGAGTGTATTTAAGGCTTCGTACGAGAAGTTGGTACTAGTAACGGTGACGCGTTGTGTTTACTTTGCGGTAAGGACCGAAATGTTAAATATTTATTTAGTCGAGCTTCGGGCTTCGGAGTGTTTAAGTGAAACTCGGAGACGTGTGAATATAAACTAGTTAATGAGCTTCGTACTTTTCCTGCTACTTACATTCCTTCTCTGACAACGAAACTTTTAAGTCAGGCAGTGCTGCATAACTTTCACTCTCGTTTTACGTTAACTGTGTCATGGTGACCTAGATGCATGGCTCCGAGGTGAAGTACATTGGTTCATTACGTACATTCGTTCAACCTTGTGGGGTTATAAAGATACATCACAGGATCATAGAGCAGGGGTAAGTTAGGCAATATGTTGGCTAGACTACTGGCTGGACGATCAGGGTTCGATTCCCGGCGGTGCCCGAATTTATAACTTGTGTTGGGCAAGGCCGTGGTCTAGGCAACACGGAGTTTTCCTCCGAGGCATCCCAACAATTACTCCATTCACACACAGAAGAAGGCAATGGCAAACCACTTCTGGATCATCTGCCAAGAACGTATATGAACAGGTCCCAGTCCGAGAAAAGGATGGAAGGATCCTGTTCATATGGACCTGTCGTCAGACAGAACACTAAATAAATAAAAATAAATAACTATATCTTGTGCTAATCCAGACTTGTGTCCTTTTGGTAAAATTAGAAGGTTACGCACTCAGAAGCAGAGAAAGGAGAGGGGGTAAGGAGAGAAGTTGCGTAACTTGTCTAAATAATATTTAAGAATTTAGTCCGTACCTCAAAGAAAACACCACACTTCGCCCGTTACAAATATCAAGTGGTTAATGCTGTTAAGAAGTTTAAGTTCCCCGTTTAGGCCGGATGTTTTCTCTTCGTTACCAAGTTCCGACTCAGCCTCAAATTAGACCGTCGTTGTGGGCTCTTTCCGTGAGGTAAAGGGGCCAAAGTCTGAAACTAAAAACTCGGTGACGTCATGACATGAAGAATGATGATATGAGAAATTACAAAATAAAACCAACATACGTAATTGTTATGGTTTTAGTGATGGACAACATCCGGTATGATATTCATATAATGGATCGACCATTGTCGTAGGGGCACCTTTACCTTCTGGAAGTGGTGAAAGAATTGGTCGCTGTCTCTTTACAGATCTGAGTAGGCGAGCAACATGGGTTATGGACAGGAGATGGACGGCTGTGGTCAGTGTATGAAGTACAGCATGTTCATAGCGAACTTCATCATATTTGTAAGTATGGCGTTGTTACATTCGTACATCACACGATCTCCGTTGTATCTGCATCGCAGCTTTGAACCCATTGCACAATAATGGCACTTATCTGCACTTTTTAAATTCATTTTGGTACTTGTGGGTTATCGGGACACATCGCTTTAAAAATAGGTTAGGTTAGGTTAGGTTAATGTGTGTGGATAAATTACATATACTTGAAAGTTATATTTTATTTCAATAAATGACAACTAACCTAACCTAAACTAACCTAACCTAACCTAACCTAACCTTAACTAACCTAAACTAACCTAACCTAACCTAAACTCACCTAACCTAACCTTAACTAACCTAAACTAACCTAAACTAAACTAACCTAACCTAAACACCTAACCTAACCTATTTTTAAAGCGATGTGTCCCGATAACTCACAAGTACCTTCATTTGTTTTAATTTATCATTCTGACTCTTAATTTATTTCTTAATGCAGTGATCCCTTGCTGTTTATTAATTCAAATATTTGTGGTTTTCCATTTTTGTCAGTTTTGCCATGAGTCAACAACAACATTACCTGCTGGTTTTATTACATTTCGTCAATAATACGTAACATGTACATTCGACAGATGCCTTTTCGACCTTAAGTATCCCAAACTAATGCCAGCATCTGTCTTAGTAGTAGTATATAATTAATATTATATTTGCATTCGTCGTACCCTCTTGTTAATAAAATATTTTTATAAATTTGAAATGAAGCGTCGTCCCTTGCTTAGACTTATCCTATCTTACAGTAATATTTTATGAATATTTCTCTTTCTTGTGGTCACACGTAACACCCTCGTCATTGGGGTTGATTATCGTAGTATTTTATTTTACATATTCAAGAGTTATTTGTGTACGCAGAAAGTGTTGGTCACTGACGGTGGATTACGTGTGTCATTCTTTTTAATTTATTTTATTGTAATATTCTGTCATATTTCTTTCCTTCCTACTTGTATTCATTCTTTACGCACGAATTTCGGTTTTTTTAAAAATATTTTTTTAACTTTTAATATTAATATCTCGTGAAACGTATCTGATAATCTTGTATGCTTATTCGTTTAATGTTATGGTTAAACATAAAATAAAATGCTCTGGAATCAACTGAGTAGACGCAATCTTACGCTACGTTTCATCTACGAAATTTTGTCATTTTCTTTCAGTGGGTGAGGTTTCCGTGGGTGCGAACCTCGATTGGAGCAGTGTGTCCACAAGCATTGGTTCGGTAGTGGTACAGTTGTTTGAAACGAGTGGCTTTGCATGTTTGCTTGAATATATGTTGCGTGGCTTTCTTTACAGATTTGAGTGTTTGTAAGTTTTGTGAACACCAAGTCCCATATTGCCATTATAATTATTCTCGTAATAATATTGATAATTACTATCTCGATGATGGTAATTACGACAAAAACTCTATGGAGCAGAGTCTGTTGTGAGAATCTAATAGATCGTTACGTATAGTCGGCGCAGTAGTTTTTGGCCGGTGGAGAAGCTGGCGGGCGGGCCTAGTCTGTGTACCTGAGGTGGCACGGTCAGCGTGTTTCTTTTGTTTGGGCGTTCAGTCCGAGACTCGCTCCTAGCCTTCCCCTTGAAAATTCCAAGCTAGCGGAGCTGGCGGACGGGCCTACTCTGTGTACCTGAGGTGGCACGGTCAGCGTGTTTCTTTTGTTTGGGCGTTCAGTCCGAGACTCGCTCCTAGCCTTCCCATTGAAAAATTCCACCGGCCAAAAACTACTACGCCGACTATAGTAAATAAATTCCTTCAATCATGGCGGTTAACACAACAACTACAAACATTTTGACGCTTTTGTCTTTCACAGGTTGGCGGTATCTCAGTGCTAGGTATTGGCATCTGGACTCTGGTGGACAAATCTTTCATGAATGAGCTGTTGGGTACTAACTTGTTCCTCGGTGCCGTGTACATCCTTATCGCGACAGGCGCCATCATCTCCCTCATCGCATTTTTTGGCTGTCTGGGAGCCCTCAAGGAGATAAAATGCATGCTTCTGACGGTAAGAAAGTTTCTTCTATGACGAGTGTCGTAAATTTTTCAGTTTCGTACGTAATCGTATACCTTGCAGGTGACGGCGTAACGTACTTTCCGCTGCGAGAACCTCGGATCCCTCTCTCCCCCCCTCCCCCTATCCCCCCTCTCTCTCAGAGCTCCCGTCGTGTCCAAAATTTGAATTGGGGGTTCTACAAAAAATGCTGGAATATAAATGCCATCGTTAGCTTTGGTTTGTTAGTCGTGATGACAGAGCTCGTAATTTGTTACGTGCGGACTGAAGAAGGGTGTAATGAAGTTGAGGAATTGTAACGTTGAAGAGACTTTGAGCTCGTCTTGATGAATCCTCCAATCATTAAGTGAGAACTGTACTATATCCCTGAGGACGTATTCAGCAAACAGATCTGTGAAACGAGCTTGGGACGACACGCAGGAGAAGGTACGTGTATCGGTCGATTATCCAAATATTTGTGTAAATAGTAATTTTATTACTTGCGGTGAATTTTATGGGATGGAATTAATTCAGTCTTTTGAAGATCTGTTATAATTATAAGAGGCGTATTTTTATTTTATTTTTTTATTTTCAGTATTAACGTAATTAAATTCGATGTTTGGTCGATTATTTCAAATGATTTTAACGCTTTAAATGTGACGAGGGGAAATTTACGTCTGGTGCGATGAAAGGTTGATTCGAGCAGCCGGGATTCAATCTGAAATTGTTACGTCTCGTTAGATAAGCTGCTTCTAGTGCAGTCGAGAGTTGGGTCAGAGACGAAACTTGGCTGTTAGTAAATTTTATTATAATACGCAGCTGATATTTTGAAATTTCTGCGCTAGAATGCGCCTAAATTTAGGCGAATTTTAATTTAGGTCCGGCATAAATTCAAATATTTATAGGTAGAGTGCTTTCACAAAGTCTCTGGGGCTGAGACGCGGAGAACGTCGATGAACTCTCGATAAAGATTGTTACGCGGATTTCCAGGGTCTTTGTGAAAGTACGACACAACAGTCCTGCCCCCCCCCCCCAAAAGGAAGCTCTTGGGGGCACAGCGTCGTTGAAACTGTCTCTCGATATTTTTATTTACAGCTCAAATGTTGTGGGGTCACCTCCCCTGTGGACTGGAAAGATAGGGTTCCGGAAAGTTGCTGTAGGATTCACCCAGAAAGTTCAGTAAGTTGAATCCAGAATACGGAAATACTCTTTGAACTGTACCCATGAAGAAAATTTTAATTAATTATGGCCCCCAAATTATGTTTATCAACAAAAAAGAAGACGTCGTTGGGAATGTGAATTGTATTTCCGAGTTGCGAGAGAAATTTTGTTATTGAATAACTGAGATGTGATAAGCGAATATTTCAATTTTTTTTTTTTTTTTTTTTTTTTTTTTTTTTTTTACAATTTACGTCATTCCAGAGTGTAAAATTTATTTTCTTTCAGTCTTTTGGGAAGTGCTTTTTGTTGCCTGGAAACATCTACACCTCGGGTTGTTTGAACATAACCGAGAAATTTGTCAAAGAACACGCCGCCATCATCGGAGGGGCTGGAATTGGCGTGGCCTGCTTGATGGTAACTATTAGGTTTAAGATGCAAAATAAAGTTTTCTCGCCTGTATTTTTTTAAATGCGTTCCGTCACCTTTCGCACAGTCTGCAGTTTTATTCGCAGAGAGCATAAAAATAACTCTTTAATTCTTCGCGTGTCCGGTTGCAAAAATTTTGTATTTGAAATTAATCGATGAAATTCTTATGTTCCTTTTAATTTTCCAGCTGTTAGGAATGATATTTTCTTGCGCGCTCTTCAAGATGATAGAATAAAGCCCTCTGGGTGGGGGTGGACCTGCGTCGTTCAACCACGTAATCATCCTTAACGAACGACGAAACTCGAATTATAAACCAAGAACAGAAGAAATCCTGTTTCAGTGATATGTTGCAGAATTTTTGGTGTCTCGAGATCGTACTATTATTTACAGAGTTTCGTACTTTACGATTCAACTTTAAACGTTAGAAAATAAAATATATTTATGCAGGTATACTTTGAACATTTTGAGGGTCATCGTGAGAGAGAATTTTGCTGGAGTTATATTTTGAAAAATACATTTCACTGTCGGGACTTTTAATTATATAAAGACTTGTTTCAGTGGACAGATGATGATGATAATTTTGATTGTTAGGTTAGGTTTTGTACATTTAATATTAAGTAGAAAGGTATTACAATTCATTGTCGTTTGAATGCATGCGTAAACTGTGACGTTCTAATTAGTAAGTTAAGTGCCTAATATTAGATTCCATTTCCTACGTCGATTGCAAATAATTAAAAAATTATGGATATTAACTTGTTATTTAGAAATGAAAATAATATTATTGATTTTAAAGAAATTGTGTTTGAAAATATACGTACGGACTGATTCTTTACTTATGATAAGAGTTTCTCTTACGCGGGGTCTATACCGAAGAAGTTGAGATTACGTAAAATTACGTATTAGGTTACGCGTAAGGCTTTTGTGGTTTATTGATCTCTTCTGATGTAAAAATTGATCTCACGGAAGCGAGTATGAAGATGGATGTCTTCTGGGCGATTGTGCCTTGAAGTCTCGTTAAAGTTTACCAATGTTTCAGAGGTCCTTTCTGTCTCCATTGCCCTGATGATGGAGGCAACAAGGACGAATACATGATTTGTAAATAAATAAAAATATATCTGATATTAGGCACGTTTCCATTGTACATTTTATAGCTATAGAAATTTAGTTATAGAATTTTTAGAAGTATAGTTTTAGTACGCACATTTTAGGTTAGGATTGTGTTAAGTAGTACAGTGTCTTCTCGATGCGTGTCGCCACCTGACTATAGGCCAGCGTCAGCGTACCTGAGTGTTACTGGATCCCCGATACAAGTTTAGAATTGTTGTGTAAGGAAATAAAAGAAACAATTTATGTTGGAACTAACACCAAGATCATAAATACAGCTGAAAATTCTATATTCTGAGACACTGCACGTTCTCTTCACGTCATTTGAAAAGGTAAGCATTGACGTACGTTCCCGTTTAAGTATTTTCTAAAACTACGAGTTCTCGTTCAGATATTTTAACATGTGGGGTATTATTCTGTACGCGTCCTCCTCTAAGTGAAAATTATATGGAGTAAAATTATGCTGTAACCCGGACCACCAAGTTTAATTTAATTAAGCGCGCGTCATTTTTAAATTGGTGTCTCGTCCGGAAGTGACCTACCGGATCTGAATTCATTAATATCGTAAATGCTTGGAATTGAGACTTAGTAAAGTTAGGTTAGGTTAGAATTGTAATTCACTACTACAAGCGAGTTAGTAAAACTTAATGTCCGTAGATAATGATATCCCGTACTTAACGCACCGTTTACATTTTTTTTTAAATATTCTGAAACTGGTAGCGCTCGACGTGAGTCATTTTTTTTTTCGGGATTAACAGTTACCGGAATGAAGTAGGTTTTTCATTGGCTGGTAGTTTAGAAGTGACGTAAACTTTAAACTGTGGTAACAAACCATACTTTAAATGTGTAGTCAAGTATAGATGTCTATACTTATTGGATGTAATTTTTCTGTGTTTGATTTCGTAATAAATTAATTGTTACGTACATATACTTACCAACCTTCCACACAAATATTTCCCTCGCTTTGTTATCAGATTGAGAGGCATTGTACATTTTCATAAATAATTTGTGCTTTCAACTCGTACCTTAAGAAAGGGTAAACTGTGTTTTTGATGTCTCTGAGCTTGAGAATGACATAAGGTAAGACGCTGGCAACCCGGTGTCGAAAATGCCACTCGACCAAACGCCCACGCGAGATTCGAAATTGATTTCTGTTCAGCACAAATTTTTTTAATTCAGTTTGCTCTCACTTGTCTGTGGTTGTGTGGATAAGTTTACTATATACTTTATAAATATCCACGTAATAATTAGTTTCGAGTAGCGAACATGAAAATATAGTTCTTAGATTAAATTACAAGCCAAAATAATAATACCTTTCACGATATATAAATAAATAAAAGTTGCAAACTTTCATCAGTCGTAAATAATATATTCTTATACAGTAAATGTTTATAATTAATATTTCCCATCTGTTGCTATTAAAATCTATGTGTCTCACTACCTAATCTGCCCCCTTCACCTTTACACAGATAAAAAGAAATTATCTCCGGATATAGGTGGTCGTGTTTTTGACTGGTGTAAAGTTAATGTTTGTACACGTGGAAAAAATGTAAAGTGCCATGAAAATGTGGAATGAGCTAAGGAAAAAACTGATTTTTCAGCTCATCTCAGTCTAAATCAAAAATTTGTGCAGGAAAAGATTAAAAAAATGTATAATTACGGGACTACGTGTTGCTTTCTCTCAGCCTCCAGGGGTGTTAATGAATGTGAATATTACTACTTCCATTAACGTAATCTTTCCCCTTTCCATGTCAATTTAACTTATATTTTTATGTAATTTTCTTTATCTATGTAATAATGTAAGAATGCAGTGAATGTATACGAGTGTTAATTAAAATGTAATGTTTACAACCAGAAACATTTTGGGATTTTTATTCCTATCCATTCTTCGCCCACGTATATCTGTTCTTATGACATGATTCTACCCCGAACGTCGAGGTGGCTGTCACCCCAACACTGATAAGTAAGAATGAGTGTCTGGATGTTGTTTGGCACAACGCTGGCAACTTCACGTCGGCTGTCACGAAGTAGTACTTAACCTCAAAACCAGACGTAATGTACGCTGGCTGTGGTTTGTTTATCCTAAATACTCTGTTTTTGTTTTTGTTTTTTTTGCAGATTACGTAGTGATGAGTGTTTCATAATTTATTAAACGTCGCTTTATGTATCGTAGCGTAGAATTAATTAAGGTTTTGTTATAATTGAGATACAGTCTGTGTTTAAGAAAGGGTTAATGGCTTATGTGAAATTTCTATTGTAACTATTTTACAGAGATCCATCTTCCAATCTACGCCGATGTCTTCATTGTGTATTTTTTCGTGAATTTCCGAATAATTTTGTCTACATTTTATTTTCCCCCAATCAATTATACAGACTAGATAAGGGAAATTTAAATTCGGTATTTGTTTACTTTAACCTAATACATTTCAGACCTGGAGACGTGCTAGACAGATGTCCAGGAAAACCTGGTTCTCGCCCAAGATTAGAATATTTAAATATTCTAAATCACGACATTCGGTAACAATCTTAAATAAATAAGTTTATTTTTAATTATAATTTGAAATTTGTTGAATTGGATTGATCAGAGCCGAGTCAAAAATGTTTATTGTTAGAATTCAGTACAGGCCTAGTAGTTCGTAGATGGTTCAGAAAATATTTTTATTTATAAATGTTGTGGGGTCACCTCCCCTGTGGACTGGAAAGATAGGGTTCCGGAAAGTTGCTGTAGGATTCACCCAGAAAGTTCAGTAAGTTGAATCCAGAATACGGAAATACTCTTTGAACTGTACCCATGAAGAAAATTTTAATTAATTATGGCCCCCAAATTATGTTTATCAACAAAAAAGAAGACGTCGTTGGGAATGTGAATTGTATTTCCGAGTTGCGAGAGAAATTTTGTTATTGAATAACTGAGATGTGATAAGCGAATATTTCAATTTTTTTTTTTTTTTTTTTTTTTTTTTTTTTTTTTTTTTTTTTTTTTTTTTTTTTTTTTTTTTTTTTTTTTTTTTTTTTTTTTTTTTTTTTTTTTTTTTTTTTTTTTTTTTTTTTTTTTACAATTTACGTCATTCCAGAGTGTAAAATTTATTTTCTTTCAGTCTTTTGGGAAGTGCTTTTTGTTGCCTGGAAACATCTACACCTCGGGTTGTTTGAACATAACCGAGAAATTTGTCAAAGAACACGCCGCCATCATCGGAGGGGCTGGAATTGGCGTGGCCTGCTTGATGGTAACTATTAGGTTTAAGATGCAAAATAAAGTTTTCTCGCCTGTATTTTTTTAAATGCGTTCCGTCACCTTTCGCACAGTCTGCAGTTTTATTCGCAGAGAGCATAAAAATAACTCTTTAATTCTTCGCGTGTCCGGTTGCAAAAATTTTGTATTTGAAATTAATCGATGAAATTCTTATGTTCCTTTTAATTTTCCAGCTGTTAGGAATGATATTTTCTTGCGCGCTCTTCAAGATGATAGAATAAAGCCCTCTGGGTGGGGGTGGACCTGCGTCGTTCAACCACGTAATCATCCTTAACGAACGACGAAACTCGAATTATAAACCAAGAACAGAAGAAATCCTGTTTCAGTGATATGTTGCAGAATTTTTGGTGTCTCGAGATCGTACTATTATTTACAGAGTTTCGTACTTTACGATTCAACTTTAAACGTTAGAAAATAAAATATATTTATGCAGGTATACTTTGAACATTTTGAGGGTCATCGTGAGAGAGAATTTTGCTGGAGTTATATTTTGAAAAATACATTTCACTGTCGGGACTTTTAATTATATAAAGACTTGTTTCAGTGGACAGATGATGATGATAATTTTGATTGTTAGGTTAGGTTTTGTACATTTAATATTAAGTAGAAAGGTATTACAATTCATTGTCGTTTGAATGCATGCGTAAACTGTGACGTTCTAATTAGTAAGTTAAGTGCCTAATATTAGATTCCATTTCCTACGTCGATTGCAAATAATTAAAAAATTATGGATATTAACTTGTTATTTAGAAATGAAAATAATATTATTGATTTTAAAGAAATTGTGTTTGAAAATATACGTACGGACTGATTCTTTACTTATGATAAGAGTTTCTCTTACGCGGGGTCTATACCGAAGAAGTTGAGATTACGTAAAATTACGTATTAGGTTACGCGTAAGGCTTTTGTGGTTTATTGATCTCTTCTGATGTAAAAATTGATCTCACGGAAGCGAGTATGAAGATGGATGTCTTCTGGGCGATTGTGCCTTGAAGTCTCGTTAAAGTTTACCAATGTTTCAGAGGTCCTTTCTGTCTCCATTGCCCTGATGATGGAGGCAACAAGGACGAATACATGATTTGTAAATAAATAAAAATATATCTGATATTAGGCACGTTTCCATTGTACATTTTATAGCTATAGAAATTTAGTTATAGAATTTTTAGAAGTATAGTTTTAGTACGCACATTTTAGGTTAGGATTGTGTTAAGTAGTACAGTGTCTTCTCGATGCGTGTCGCCACCTGACTATAGGCCAGCGTCAGCGTACCTGAGTGTTACTGGATCCCCGATACAAGTTTAGAATTGTTGTGTAAGGAAATAAAAGAAACAATTTATGTTGGAACTAACACCAAGATCATAAATACAGCTGAAAATTCTATATTCTGAGACACTGCACGTTCTCTTCACGTCATTTGAAAAGGTAAGCATTGACGTACGTTCCCGTTTAAGTATTTTCTAAAACTACGAGTTCTCGTTCAGATATTTTAACATGTGGGGTATTATTCTGTACGCGTCCTCCTCTAAGTGAAAATTATATGGAGTAAAATTATGCTGTAACCCGGACCACCAAGTTTAATTTAATTAAGCGCGCGTCATTTTTAAATTGGTGTCTCGTCCGGAAGTGACCTACCGGATCTGAATTCATTAATATCGTAAATGCTTGGAATTGAGACTTAGTAAAGTTAGGTTAGGTTAGAATTGTAATTCACTACTACAAGCGAGTTAGTAAAACTTAATGTCCGTAGATAATGATATCCCGTACTTAACGCACCGTTTACATTTTTTTTTAAATATTCTGAAACTGGTAGCGCTCGACGTGAGTCATTTTTTTTTTCGGGATTAACAGTTACCGGAATGAAGTAGGTTTTTCATTGGCTGGTAGTTTAGAAGTGACGTAAACTTTAAACTGTGGTAACAAACCATACTTTAAATGTGTAGTCAAGTATAGATGTCTATACTTATTGGATGTAATTTTTCTGTGTTTGATTTCGTAATAAATTAATTGTTACGTACATATACTTACCAACCTTCCACACAAATATTTCCCTCGCTTTGTTATCAGATTGAGAGGCATTGTACATTTTCATAAATAATTTGTGCTTTCAACTCGTACCTTAAGAAAGGGTAAACTGTGTTTTTGATGTCTCTGAGCTTGAGAATGACATAAGGTAAGACGCTGGCAACCCGGTGTCGAAAATGCCACTCGACCAAACGCCCATGCGAGATTCGAAATTGATTTCTGTTCAGCACAAATTTTTTTAATTCAGTTTGCTCTCACTTGTCTGTGGTTGTGTGGATAAGTTTACTATATACTTTATAAATATCCACGTAATAATTAGTTTCGAGTAGCGAACATGAAAATATAGTTCTTAGATTAAATTACAAGCCAAAATAATAATACCTTTCACGATATATAAATAAATAAAAGTTGCAAACTTTCATCAGTCGTAAATAATATATTCTTATACAGTAAATGTTTATAATTAATATTTCCCATCTGTTGCTATTAAAATCTATGTGTCTCACTACCTAATCTGCCCCCTTCACCTTTACACAGATAAAAAGAAATTATCTCCGGATATAGGTGGTCGTGTTTTTGACTGGTGTAAAGTTAATGTTTGTACACGTGGAAAAAATGTAAAGTGCCATGAAAATGTGGAATGAGCTAAGGAAAAAACTGATTTTTCAGCTCATCTCAGTCTAAATCAAAAATTTGTGCAGGAAAAGATTAAAAAAATGTATAATTACGGGACTACGTGTTGCTTTCTCTCAGCCTCCAGGGGTGTTAATGAATGTGAATATTACTACTTCCATTAACGTAATCTTTCCCCTTTCCATGTCAATTTAACTTATATTTTTATGTAATTTTCTTTATCTATGTAATAATGTAAGAATGCAGTGAATGTATACGAGTGTTAATTAAAATGTAATGTTTACAACCAGAAACATTTTGGGATTTTTATTCCTATCCATTCTTCGCCCACGTATATCTGTTCTTATGACATGATTCTACCCCGAACGTCGAGGTGGCTGTCACCCCAACACTGATAAGTAAGAATGAGTGTCTGGATGTTGTTTGGCACAACGCTGGCAACTTCACGTCGGCTGTCACGAAGTAGTACTTAACCTCAAAACCAGACGTAATGTACGCTGGCTGTGGTTTGTTTATCCTAAATACTCTGTTTTTGTTTTTGTTTTTTTTGCAGATTACGTAGTGATGAGTGTTTCATAATTTATTAAACGTCGCTTTATGTATCGTAGCGTAGAATTAATTAAGGTTTTGTTATAATTGAGATACAGTCTGTGTTTAAGAAAGGGTTAATGGCTTATGTGAAATTTCTATTGTAACTATTTTACAGAGATCCATCTTCCAATCTACGCCGATGTCTTCATTGTGTATTTTTTCGTGAATTTCCGAATAATTTTGTCTACATTTTATTTTCCCCCAATCAATTATACAGACTAGATAAGGGAAATTTAAATTCGGTATTTGTTTACTTTAACCTAATACATTTCAGACCTGGAGACGTGCTAGACAGATGTCCAGGAAAACCTGGTTCTCGCCCAAGATTAGAATATTTAAATATTCTAAATCACGACATTCGGTAACAATCTTAAATAAATAAGTTTATTTTTAATTATAATTTGAAATTTGTTGAATTGGATTGATCAGAGCCGAGTCAAAAATGTTTATTGTTAGAATTCAGTACAGGCCTAGTAGTTCGTAGATGGTTCAGAAAATATTTTTATTTATGTGAACAATTATTACACGGGTCAAAATATTACTTATTTGATTCATTTAATTCATTTATTAATATTAATGTTTTTATTATAGTTCTTCGCATTAACTCGCAGGGCATGCTGGGTAAGTATGGCGGACGAAGTGAGGTTAGTGGCTTGTCATTTGAATATCTCTGATACGGTTGTGAAAGTACGATAACACTTCAAAATGTATCCAGTTATCTACAAAGACCTATCAGTTACAGATCCTTTCTGTGTGTCACACAACTGCAAATTCACGTAGTACATTAATTGTTTTATCAACATCGTACAATCCAAACTAATACGCAATTTATCATTCAGTATAGTTCCAAGAACTAGTCTTAATACGTGTGATAATGTGAATCATTCGCCATTTTATATCTTACGTTTTGTTATTTTGCAGCGAGATGTTTTAAATACATTTATGAAGCTTAGAATATTATTTTATACGTTTCACTAACTATCGTTCACGTATCAATTATCTCTAAACTGATACATACACTGCAATATTAATAGGGTTATATATTATAATTAAACGAATCTGTACGTAATATCATTATAAATATATTATCAATAATTAGGTCGTGTTTGTGAAATTGTAGGCAAGATAGATACACAGAACTAGCGAAGAAATTTGCCTTTTAACGCTGCAAATGTGTAGTGGTTTTTACACAGCGCAACCGTGAAGCAAAACTTACGCGTTGGCATTTGAGTGCGTGATCGGAGTGAATCATTTTGTCACTGATATGACACTCGACGGTATCTCATCACATCCCAGAGGTGGGGCAGACTTATCAATTTAGTCTGATGTCCCCCCCCCCCAAAAAAAAAAAAAAACTTGTCTGTTGTTTGAATTATTTTTCTGTTCAGACATACGTCAGACGCTTAAGATGGTTGTTACGCCATATGGTTTGTTAGATATTGAACGTTTCGGATACGTTTGCTGCCTCCATCATCAGGGAGATGACAGTAACTTAATCTGAAACTCGTCTTCGTAAAATGTTGCTATTATTTAATTATGATACTAAGGTTATATATAATCTGGTTCTCTTCTTTGCTTTGTTGCCAAGGTGGGATCGGGTTCGATGAAGGGATTTATGGGACGTTTATGCTGGATTTTTGTAACATCATTGGTTCGATTTCCCGCTTTGTTTTGTGATTGGTTGAATAATTTAAATTTAAGTCAGAATAACTCTTCTCTGATTGGTCGGTTCGATACCCGAGGTCAACTTTAACAGTTTACATCTCGTGGTGACGCTAGGTCACTTTTGCATAAACCCAATTAATAGGGGTTCGAACTCTTAGGGGGCGAAATACTGCAATTGCCTGTCAAAATATCCAGTTACAAGAAGTTTTAAACTTCTTGAATGTGGATTTTTTTTTCTCGAAAGAACAGCTGACAGTGACAGATGAAGGTCTGTGTTCCGCTGACCCTTCGCGACGTGTGTGGGTGTGAATGTATTTAAAACGGAAACATTACTTAATCCTTGGTAGACGATTACAAGCCTTAGCCCACATTCTTCGTACAACTGCTTTTATCATGAATGAAACCTATATATTACTCATTCGGCATGAATTTCGTTTCTTTACGAATTAACTGAATTACATAACTGCATCTTAATAAGCCAAGAACAGAATTATACGTAATTCACATCGTAATTTGTAACTGATATAACAAACTATTAAAATAATAGATTAGCTGTCTGTGTATGAAAGAACACAGTGAACATAAATTATTTTAATTCTGAATTTAGAACTTTCTTAGACGAATTATATAAACAGTTAGTACCACATTAGCCGTGGAGCCACGGTGGTCTAACGGTTAGAACGCTGGCCTTGTAATCCTGGGGGGTCTCGGGTTCGGTTACCGGCGGGGCCCGAATTTATAACTTGTGTTGGGCAAGGCCGTGGTATAGGCAACACGGAGTTTTCCTCCGTGGCATCCCAACAATTACTCCATTCACACACAGAAGAAGGCAATGGCAAACCACTTCTGGATCATCTGCCAAGAACGTATATGAACAGGTCCCAGTCCGAGAAAAGGATGGAAGGATCCTGTTCATATGGACCTGTCGTCAGACAGAACACTACAAATAAAAATAATAAATTCCACATTAGCCATGAATTATCGTTCGTCTATTACATCTTCAATTTTAAACGCACTGACTATATAGCAGTTGTGCTGATGCCCACTTCGATTTCTCTGGTATTTGAGGGGTTTTTTTTATCACAGCGTGCTCACGTTTACATTTGATCATGTCTGTATCTCGTCGCTAAGCGATAATCTGTATTGATATCAATTTTACTGTTTGCAACGTATCCAGATTGTAATGTAGATTTTAAATAAACTGTTTTGTCGCGAAATTAATCAGTGCGTTCCAGAGAGCCATGGGAAATGCAATACGTATGTGAAAATATAATTTGTATTAAATTATGTTTTGGATATAACCCTGAGTAATTTCAAATTGAATTCTTCAATGGCTGAGGTGAGTCTTATATGGCAAGATAAGGCATTTATCTATAGCATACATAAGCCTTACGTAATTGCAAAAAAAAAAGGACTTTGAATTTTTACATTTCATAAATATTTTCAATTAAACGTTTAAATTACGTTGTTGACTGAATGTACCACCTTTTATACAATTAAATTTCCCTTTTTCGGGATGGAATAGAAGTTTTCAGATAAACAGATTAGATGCGAATATGCTTAATAAGTTATGTTCTTTTTTAAATAACCTTGGCATCGAGAAAATGGCATGAGATTTGCAATTTGGAGAGTCGAAATTGGTCTTGTGGGTAGATTGTGTAAATACAAGCATTTTCGTAGAAAATACTTCCTCTAACTTCCGCCCTGAAGACAGAAGAAA